TGCGGGGAATATGGCGAGCATGATTGAGGAGTTCAATAAGTCGGTGTCCCTCTACACACACATGCAATTATGAAGTGAAGCTTACGAGTCTTGCAGACGCAAATCAGTGTCCCCGGATACCAATGTCGAGCAAAACGAGTGATGCAATTATCTATACTGTTGGGTGATGGAGCAGGGCGGCTATTGTGGTTAATGGAGTAACGAGAATTATGACTGTATTTTGTTGAAAACAACACACAAAGTTATGACTATTATTATTATAACATACTTTGTTCCTGCTCAAGTTGTAGCCCACCATAGTCACTATCTGGATAAAGCGCAATGCTTGGTCATGCTGGGATGCTCGATGCTCACAGCGAGGGATATGGAACAGCCAATCAGACAAAGCAGATCACATCGCAGATCAACACCATATTGGGACTAGTCAATACTAGCTACTCAAGCGACCGCTTTCCCAAAGAGGAATGATAATGACCAGTCAAATGATATCACGGTGGATGCATCAACTTATCTACTCACGCGTCACGATATGTTGTCGCACAATTGCTCCTCCCCGCTAGCTTATTCTAAATGCCCCCGGTAGCTGTACGCGCATCCCCTGTCAATATCCATATAGCCCTAGCTAAATCCGTCTAGACGCCCTTTCGTGCCTCCTCCCGTCGCAGCGCAGGCCCGCAATTCGCGTCAACTCCGCGGTTCTTCCTCTCACAAACACCTGCTTCATCGAGGCCATCTCAAGAGATCGACTCCATTGACCAGGATGACTTTGCATATGCCACACCTGCTCCGTCTGCACGTAATATAAAACGTGAGAGAGAGCAGGTACCCACTCCCCGCCCGAAAGAGTTCATTGAAGACTCGGACCAGCCAGACGATGACGCTGCACCTAACGAAGGCGAGCTTCAGAGCAGCTCTCCACCAGAGCCAGGGGAGCTCGACGCCGCCTTCGATGAAGTATTCGGATCTATAAGAGACCGTCAAAAGAGACGTCGCGTCTCTGGGAATCATGACGCTGATAATACTCCTTCCGTTCAACGACGGAGACCCGCCGACAGGATCCTGTCATCCTCCCCGGATCCCCCAGCAGCAGCAGCAGACGAGGTCACTCTATCGGTACAATTCCAAACACCCAAGCAAATGCGTCCAGATCTGGGGTTTCGGAAACCAGAGCGGCCTGCGGAATCACCACATCCTGTAACACCAGCAAGCATCAACCCCTCCTCTCTCCTGCCCCGTCGTTTCGTGCTATCCGCGTCGCAACTACCCCCAAGTAGTCAGACTCAAGTCAACACTGCAATACCACCCTCGACCGCAACTCCAGTCCCGAGCTCACAGCGGCGAACACCAGCATTTGTCCTGCCTCGCTCTCCCTCCCCTCAGGAGGACGACGATCCCACCGGCATCCCCACGCCGTTCTCACCTTCCTCTCGTGCTCTCCGGCGGCGCGGCCGTCACCGTTCCGCGGCACACAACTATGTTCCTGATGGCATGGCGGCGGAAGTGCGCAGCTGGATTCTGGAAAAGGGCGCAAAAAGGGAACAGCAACAAACGAGTCCGAGCCATTACCGCAGAACGGGTCCACCTTCGCTGGACACGTACGCGATAGCCATCCGGGTAACCTGTGCTCGTCAGTCGGTCCTGTCGAGTTGCGGCGCCCTGGCATTCGCCCAGGGTCACCTCGTGGAATCTTATGAGACCAACGAAACAGATACTCAATCCCAAACTCAGACCAAGAACGTGCTCCTTCTCGGACCACCCCGACAACAGAAGTCCCGGCATGCAGCGACTCACATCCCCGACCTTGAACCGGGGGATGTGGTCGGAGTCTTTCGGGGACTATGTTGGGAGGTAGATCTAGGAGAGCCTGCTCCTGCTGTAGAAGTAGGCCTTGACCTCGACGGTCTCTCCCAATCGGACCGTACACACATGCAAAGTGCAGGTAAATGGCATGTGGGAATGGAATGGGAACTAATCTCATAGGACTATGCATACAGCCAATCATGTACATTATTTGATACCCAAACACGCAAAAATGCGATACTTCAACATTATGCTGAACATTCATTCTTCGAATGAAATGCAAAAGAAATGAATCTATATATGCAAGCTTTTACCCCTTCAACACCATGACCAAAACGCCATACCAACACTGCACAAAACACATATGTACATCATCACTCCGCATCCCCTTCCTTAACTACAACCTTCAAAGCATCCACCGCAACCTTACATCCCCACTTAACAACCTTCAACTCCTTCCCAGACGGCACAATATCCGTCTTCGCAACCACCTTCTTCAAGAAGAAAATCAACCCCTTGACAATCTGCGGTGTTTCTCTCGCGCGCAGGAAAATCTCCAGAAGCGCCTTCTCATCCTGCTCATCCTCATCCTTCGACTTCGACTTCGACTTCTTTTTCTTCTGCTTCTGCGACTGCTGAATCACACTAATCAAAAGCAATTCCACAAAGGCCTTGCTCTTCGGTTGCAGGTATGCGAAGTTCAGAATCTTGAGCACACCCAGATTCAACGTCCCGTCTGCGATAAGCGATCCGTACATCTTCGCCAAGTTGACGATGGATTTCATTTCGAGTTTGTTCTGGTCGTCTTCGTCATCGAATGCGTCGTCGTCATCGCTATCGTCCATGTCGCCGGACTCGCCCATGCGTTTGAAGATGTTCCATAGCGTGTACATGAAGGATACTTTGATGCGACGGCCCATTTCGCCACAGAGGCGCTTCGCGATGAGCGTGTAGTAGGGGTTGTGGGCTTCTTCTTCCATGGCGCAGTGGGTCAGGACGCGGGGGATTTCGAATTCCTGGGCGCGCTTGAGACGGAGTTTGAGGAGGCGGACGTGGGCGTCCTGGTAGTCTGTTGCGGACATGATGGCGACGAAGATGGAGCGGCGGACGTCGGTGTTCATGCGATGCGCTTTAGCGATATTGACGAGGTCGGGCTCGGAGTCGCTGTCTGAGACGTCGACGTGGGTGTTGTTCGTAGGGAGGCCGTTGAGTTCCTTCCGGGCGGATTCGAGGGGATCTTCGCGCCAGCTGGCGCCGACGAGCCACCATTTGCCCTTCTTTTCGGAGTTGTGGATATCGGCGCGGGAGATGCTGATGGGTTCGGAGGCCCGGATGACTCGCGTGTTGTTGAGAGAACCGAGAATCTTGCGCATCTTGGTGATGTGTTCGGTGCTGATGCTGGCGTTCACATTCGACTTCAGCTTGTTGTTTTTGAGGTCGGTGATGGTGTCGATCATGAACTTGGTACGGACGGAGAGGGCGGCTTCGCCGGCTTTGGCGACGGCGGGCTGAATGAGAAGGACGATGTCTTTGAGGGAGGAGGGGTCATCTTGTCGGAGTTGAGGTCCGGAGTCTGGTGGGGTTAGTATGAGGTTGAGAAGGGAGGGACGGGCATAACGTACTCCGGATGATCTTGAGGAGCAATTCGGTGTTCTCCTCGTTGATTTCTTCCAGGAAGAGCCGAATGTAGTCGAAGACAAGGGGACTTCCAATGACATGGAAGTTGTATAGTTGCGACAGGAGAGAGATCAGGTTGATGGTCTCCTTTCCTTCGAACTTGCCTCGTTCATCGCCGCGGGCATCGAAGGTCTCGACGATCTTCTGCACGATCTCCGCGCCAAAGTCCGTACCCACAATCTTGTACACTGCAGCAATAAAACCTGCATGTAGAATGATGAAAGTATCCGATAAGGCAGATCTCTCGCAGATTAATCCGAACAGCAGAGAGATCAAGGTCGAAGTGACGTTCTGACGAGGATGATCCCGGTAGAGCTTCTCGAACTCCGCGAGGATAGAGACCATATTGGCTTCAGACAGCTTGTTTAGGTGACCTTGAGCTTGTCTCCTCAAGCGAACGAGAGATTCATCCTCTGAGTTAGAGGCAGCGCGAAGCGAAGGAGGAATGTATTTCTGGGGACGGCTTTCCGCTTCTTTGACTGGGGCGACGTAGGGATTTTCCTTTTTCTTAGGAGCCGGCGCCTCTTCCTCTCCTTCCTCATCTTCATCGAAATCACCCATAGACTCATCATCGTCAAAGCCCTCAAGCCCATCTCCCATATCACTATCGTCTTCCTCCTCAGAATCCTCCTCCTCCTCAGGCTCCTCCAAGCCCTGCGCCTTTCTCCGCTTACTCCGTAGCCACTCATCAGCTTCCCTCTTGCGCTTCCGGCCCTCATCCGCCGAGTCCTCATCCAAATCGCCCAGCAGATCACCCAGACCATCCTCTTCGAAGGATTTGGGGAGCTTCTTGCCCTTCTTCAGACCAAGCTTCTTCTCCAGCGCAGCAATCTCTGCATCGTCTTCTTCGAGCTTCGATTGAACCGTCTTCGATACCGGGCGTCGCATTGTCACTTCGTCCTCATCCTCATCGAGATCAATGTCATCCTCCTCTTCCTCAGAACTCTCCTCAACCTTAGCCTTCTTCAAGATAGACTTCGGCTTCTTCTCCTCCTTAGCAGAAGCAGGAGCGGCAGCCTTCCCCTTCGCCGCTTTCGCCTTAGCAAGTTTCTCCATAACATCACCGGCATCTTCATCATCATCCCCCTCATCTAAATCAAACCCATCAAAATCCCCCATATCCTCATCCTCATCCTCTTCGTCATCATACCGACCCCTCTTCTTCGGAGGCGGTCCGCGCTGGTGGTGCTGCTGAGGCTGCTTCTTCCCGGAGCGTTCTTCTCGACGGCGCTCTTTCCGCAATGCCGGTCCGTTGCGCTTATTCTTCTTCTCGCCGTAGGTATCTCTGATTCCGAGTTCTGCGCGCAGGTCCCTCGGTAAGGAGGTCGTATTATGTCTAGGACGTCGCATGGTGTGAATCCTATTTTCCAGATAAAAGTGTTGATGTTGATTGGGGGGTTGGATCTGAACTTTTTTTAATGCCGATTCAAAATTGGTCCCGCGGAGGCGGAGGACGGAGGCGGTGAGAGCCAACCTAAACTGACTTTGGGGGGGGATGCGTTTATCTCCGCTGGTTGGCAGCTGTTACTATCGCTGAGTAGTCATAGTTGGTTTGCGGTTTATTGTCAATTGAGCTGCGGAACTTAACTTCAGCACTACGGTCACATCTGAATCCTACATACCAAGAACCTGATACTATATCTATCACAACACAACCGCCAATATGCCCGCACACCTGGGCCACGAGGAGGTACTTCACCCCCACAACCACCACCAGACCACGCCCATCTCGAAACTAACATGATTAGTTCTTCACCTCCCTCACAAACCTCCTAAACACCACGTCCCAGAAAACCCGCGGATCCGTGTACCTCACGCAGAAGCCCCTCCTCAACACCAACACCACCACCACCGCCGAGTCTGCGTCGCAACCATCCATCCTCATCCGCGCGACAGACGGCAACACCAACGCCCCGAACCCCAAGACAGCCGAAGCCAAGAAGAAGGTATCGAAGACGGGATCGGCAGCATCGAAGGTGAAGATCTCGACGGTGGTGAGCCCTGATGACTTGGAGGCGTTCTATGCGAGGTATGCGGAGGTGTGTAAGGCTGGGATGACGGGGTTGAAGAAGAGGGATCGGAAGAAGGGAAAGGCGAAGGGGAAGAAGGAGGGGGGAAAGGTTGTTAAGGGGTGATTTTATTGGTTTTCTAGTTGGGGGCATGGGGGGTGATTGATGGACGGATGCATTATGGGCGTTAGTGGGATTATTCTACTTCATTTTTATTTGATATAAGGGATTTTGCTTCGATGTATATGTTGTAGATATGTTGAATGGGATTGGTTTTCAGCTGATGGTATAGTATCAATAGATTAACTACTTCGCTAGAATACAGGGGATCAAATTATGGGGCTTGTCCGGTATGAATCAAAGACAGTCCGCCCACAACCGTACAGATGCCGACTAAAAAAACAGAAACAATGAGATCATACAAATGCGTCATCGTGGGGAAAGAAAGGACATCAGAGGGAATCGCAAGTGTCATCAGATGCAGAGTACAGGAGTATACAAAAAGTGAGGAATGAATGCAGATGACCAGACAAATGGTTTGATGCAAATCAGTTGGAGTTCTCATCCGCAGACACCCCGGATCGGTCAGGGAGAGGCAAGTCGAAGTCATCCACAGTGTCCTGGGCATGGTCAACCTCGTACTCGATCTTCCGGTTCAGTTCCCCCATTGCGGATTCCAAGGCTGGGCCGATGACAATGCGCGCGGCAATGTGAATGAGAACCACAAGTAGCTGGATCGGGGGAACCAGGACCAGTGTGGCGGTTTTATGAATAAGCGACGCCGCATCGTGTTTCTCGGGTCTTGCAACTGCCAAAGACGATGCAGGCGGCATAGGAGACACTTCGCGCTCAAGGGATGCTTTGGAGCGTCGGCGAAATTCGATGCTCATGCTGCTGAGGTTGGGGTTCGAATCGGTACTTCCGGTGCGGGGTGCGACTGGACGTTGAATGTCAGGGACTATGGTCGGAGTCGGCTTCATTTCGCGGTCGTGGAAGGCTCCAGGCATATCGTGCGATGCGGACGACAAGTCATCCCAGCAGTCAACATACACTGATAGTCTGTCTCTCGAGCGCTCTGTTTCTTGGAAGGGCTGTTCTTCAGGCGGCGAATGAGTGTCACTGTGGTCAGATTGGAACTGCTCAGTACCCTCGGTCGATGTAGGCGTAGAGCAGGCGTCAAGTTCGGGTAATGTAGATAACGATGGTCCAAGGGAGTGGAAGGATTCAACGCTCGATGAAAACGTTGTTTCAGGATCAACCTGTTGTTTGGGTTTGTCTTCAAACCTTGCCAGCAAGGTCTGGAAATTCTGTTCGGGTTCTGGGTCTGGGCGCTTGGGTGAATCCACCTGTTTGAATGTCTGAGGTGCTTCCGGAGTTTCATTGTCATCTGGAATAGTCTCCAAGATAGTACTGTTACTGGCACTGTTACTGGCCTTGGTCGAAAAGCCGCTGTCATCCGTCGCCTCGCCATCCGTGTCTTCCCCGGCACTGACTGGGTCTTTTGTGAGGTCCTCCTTCGACTTGGACAGTCCGTGGTAGTAGACTGAATTGATTGGAGCACTTTCGCGACGACCTTTGGGTCGCCATGCCCTCTTCCTCCTGGGCGCTTTAGCCTCCTCTGGTATCTCAACAGTGAAACCTCTCTTGAAGGGGCATGGTGTCACTTCGTAACGGAGGACCCTGGGCAGAACATTTTTCATCTCCGTGACTAAGACCTTGTTGTCGTCGGTGTCGGCGGGGAGTTCGATGCGATAGTACGTCAGAGGGCGAATGCGCAAGACAAAGGTTGACTCGCCGTCGACACACCAACATTGCGAGTTCTTGAGGATGGCATGGACGACATTGCCGCACTTGAGGAAGACAGTAAGGCCGTGGACATTCTCCAGGCGAAGCGGGCCGAGGGCGACCGTTCGTTCAGTAGGGGACCTCCAAGGAAGTGTCTCAACAGTATCAACAGGATAGTCGAAGTCGGAGGGCGCAGTACTGGAGGGGATCGGGGCGAGCGCTCTAGGGGCAAAGTGGACGACTTTGGCAGAAGGGTGGTAGAAGAGATCGTTCTCCGAGGGCCTCAGCGACTCGGATTGCCGCCGGGGTCGGGTAATCAGTTTGGAAGGAAGAGTCGCAGACCGGCGAAGGGATTGGGTCTGGGGTAGTGGCGCATCCGAGGTATCAGACATTCTCGATCATGGGGATTAAGGAAGGTGAGAAAGGAGATGGATTACATTGAAAACTGTATAAGGGACAGGATTAGGTAGGATATAGATGGAAAAGATAGCAAGTGAATGCGAATAGGAAGGGATAAGGAAAGACGATCAGCAGGGGGGGGTGTGGAATGAGGTCAAACGAGAGACGAGAAGCTGGGGTGGTGAGATAATGGACGGGGGAATTCCCAGCGAGTGACCCTTCCCAACTTGGTTCGAACTCAATAAATTCATGGCAAAAGTATGGAATTGCCCCAATCGGGTCTAACCCAGCGGGAACGGATCGTGGCCTGAGGCAGTCATGCGCCGGTCACCTGCCCTACGCCGCATAGTGGGGCTGGCGGCTGATGGCCTGGCGTCTGGCGGCTGCTCGGCCAGTCGGAATTGATCGCTATCGTACCCGCGCGTCATTCCCTTAGCATTATGTGGTTGCCTGTGGCTGTTTCCCCCTCGGCAGCCAACGCACAACTATAAATAGTACGATGCTCCCTTTCTGCTAAACGGTCCCTGATCTTCAGAAGTACTCGAGAGTCTCTTGGGTGTGCATCATGGGAAACTTCGATCATAACGCCGTGATTCGCGGTGCTCAGCTGACGGTGGTTGCCAGTAAGTCCGGCCCCTTTTTCCCTGCTCGAGTTCTTGAACTCCCAGTAGCCAATGGCTGCGCGACTTCTTTTGCCTTGCGTAAAAGGGGGCGCGGCAGATGTGGGATTATAGGGGTCTGCGTGGTGCTGAATATCAATGGCTCAGCACGGCCGAGGTCCCTAGTTCCATGATCGACAGCCATGGCTGGCTAGCTACCCGCATGGTTCATTGGGGAAACACGGCACGAGTACTACTTTAACCGCTGCTAACTTAGCTGGACAGCCGTCCGCGCATTGCGGAACCCCGATCTCTTCAAGTACGACCACTTCCGGCAGGCTGCCTTTGCTGTCGCTGTCGGTGTGGGTGTCGAGCTCCTCATCCAGATTCCCGTATGTGACTATTTTCTAGCTACCCGCTTGACAGCTTCGAGACTGACAAAGCGGCTATAGATCATTGCACTAAAGATAGGACTTTGGTTCATCTCATGGATTATCGACCTCGAGAGTGTCACTTGGGACGATTCCCTCATTGAGGGTCTCGACTTCCTCTCCAAGTCTGTCCTTCATGTCCCCTTCCTCATCATGTCGCTGATGCGGTACATCACTCCGACATTGGATGAAATGTAAGCCAACCATTCCTCGACTTGATGTGCATGTGCTGATTGATTAGCTTCATGGAATCGTTGAAATGGGTGGATACGACCTATGTCGATAAGCACAAGGCAGAGGACCCGAGCACTCTGCGTGCTATGTACTACCCGAACCTCTCCATGTACAACGCCGGTGAGGGCAAGGTCAAGTCTACTGCGCCGAAGAAATCGGCCAAGGAAAGAATCATGGTGTTCCTTAGGAGGTCCGGCCAGAGAGCCGCCCTGCTTCTGGGCGTGTCTATCTTGTCGCTTGTGCCTGTTGTCGGACGCTTTGCCACTCCAGCAGCTTCCTTCTTCGCCTTCAAGGATGCTGTGGGCACTACCCCTGCCGCTGTCATCTTCGGAGCCGGTTTTATCTTCCCGAAGAGCTACGTTGTTTCCTTCCTGCACAGCTTCTACGCCTCTCGTACACTGATGCGTGAGATGGTAAGTCTTCAGCCACATTATCGATAAAACCATCCTAATGGACAACCAGCTCGACCCCTACTTTAGCCGCGTTCCCTTCACCCCCGAGCAGAGAAACCGCTGGTTTGCCGACCGCCAGGGTGTCCTGTTCGGTTTCGCCTTTGCCTTCACAATTGTGCTGAAGACTCCCTTCATCGGAGTCCTCCTGTACGGCGTTGCGCAAGCCGCCACAGCATACCTCGTCACCAAGGTCACGGACCCCCCGCCGGCCCCGTCCGAGAAGGAGGGCTTCGCAGAGACCCAGGTGACCTGGAAGAACAAGCACGAGTTCCTGCGCCTGTCGCTGGACAATATCGACCAGCTGAACAAGGCTCCAGAGGAGGAAAAGCCCAAGGCGCCCGAGTTGCCGGGTCGGAAATTCGAGTAAGCGAGCAGCCAAGGGATGAGTTGTTCGGAGAGTGGATTCAACGTACAAAATTTGGTCATGGAAACCGAGACTGTACACTCAAATTTTCTGCATAGTGCATGCATGCATGCACGCATCTTATTTTTAAGGTTCGGGGTTATTATCGTTATCATAGACTCAAAAGACAGCCGTGGAATCAAAGCATATCCTTTTCCCCGCTGATAAGCGCGTCAGCCCAGATAAGATAACCGGAGCAGGGGGAATTCCGTAATTCCTATTCGGTCTGGTGATAAACAAAGTTGGACCAATTCGTGAGGGGAAGTTTCGGGTTCCATGAATTGAGGGGTTGGTTGCATCGCTTTAGTTTGGTTTATCTTGTAGTATTAAGGAGTGGTTCCCACGTTGAGGGGAAGCTGTCCCATCTTACCTCTTCCCACCTATTCATCCATCTATCAATTAGTGTCACAAGCATTATCATCATCAATATCATCACGAATCCACCATGGGCCACAAGAAGATCCGCACCGCTCTCTCAGTCGATTTGAACAAACCAGCCTGGGAGCAGCCTGGCCTCCACGTAAGTCATAACCAGTGTAGTACCATCATAGTAGCACTAACGTCGATTTCACCTCTATAGAATAGATGGCACCCAGACGGTAATACACCCTTTCCCTCTTCTTCCCCCACAATAACCCCAAACTAACGAAAATCCTGAAAATAATAGTACCCTCCTACGCCAAAATCGCCAACAACGAAGTAGTCAAAATCGAATGTCTCGACTGGACCGGCGGGCAAATCAAAAACAACGACTCCGCCGACGACATTAAGAACGTCGATCTCACTCAGATCCACTACCTCTCCGGCCCATTTGAGATCGAAACCGCAGAGCCCGGCGATGTCCTCCTGGTCGAGATTCAAGATGTGCAGCCCTTCGAGGACCAGCCGTGGGGATTCACGGGTGTGTTTGAAAAGAGTAATGGGGGTGGGTTTTTGGATGAGATTTATCCGGAAGCGTAAGATATCCTCTTTCTCTTTTCCTTTTAAACTCGGGTCTGTGTGGGAGAGTAAAGATAGCTTATGGTGGTGGTGGATTTGTGCAGCGCAAAAGCCATCTGGGACTTCGAAGGCATTTTCTGCTCCTCGCGCCACATCCCGCACGTCCGATTCGCAGGCCTCATTCACCCCGGTATACTGGGGTGCGCTCCATCGGCTGAGGTCCTGGCGGAGTGGAATCGTCGTGAGGGGGAGCTCATCGCGGCGAATACTACCCTTGGACGGGACGTTGCGAAGCCTCCGGAGCCGAAGAGTGCGCATGCCGGTAGTGCGACGGATGAGGAATTGAAGGCGAAGATAGCGAAGGAGGGGGCGAGGACTATTCCTGTATTTCACCCTCCCACATCTATATCCCATTCATTACTAACAAAAGTACAGGGCCGTCCCGAACACGGCGGCAACTGCGACATCAAGAACCTCTCGCGAGGCTCAAAAGTCTACCTCCCCGTACACGTCCCCGGAGCGAAGTTTTCCGTGGGTGATTTACACTTCAGTCAAGGCGACGGGGAGATCTCCTTCTGCGGGGCGATTGAAATGGCAGGGATAATCACGCTCAAGTTCACTGTCCTCAAAGGAGGTATGGAGAAGATGGGCATGAAGTCCCCCATTTTCCACCCTGGGCCTGTGGAGCCTCAGTTCGGTCCGGGGAGATATCTCACGTTCGAGGGATTCTCGGTGGATGAGAATGGCAAGCAGCATTATCTTGATGCGACTGTTGCGTATAGACAGACTTGTTTGAGGGTGATTGAGTATTTGAGACGGTATGGGTATAGTGATTATCAGATTTATTTGTTGTTGAGTTGTGCGCCGGTGCAGGGACATATTGCGGGGTTGGTGGATATTCCGAATGCGTGTACGACGCTGGGGGTGCCGATGGATATCTTTGATTTTGATGTTAGACCGGAGGCGGAGGTGGTGAGGTTGGATATGGGGAGTTGTGCGTTTAGTTCGAAGTAGTGGGTGGTAGTTGGGGTTTTTTGGAGTTGTAGGGAGGGAGGGAGTATGTGCTGCTTGGGGACGCATTGGAGAAGCTTGTGTGATTGTAAGTCGTGCGTTGGGGTGCAGGCCAAATGCAATGGAAGGTCAATGTATTTCAAGTCGAGAGTAAATATTGAGTTGAATTGAGCAATATCCTATCCCAGCCTAAGAGCTTATACAATGCCATAATGTAAGCTTGTCAAGGAATTGGTATTGCATTGCTACATTGCGAATGGTCCTGTGTACAAATATAGATCCCTATAGTCTACAAGCTCTTGTCTCAAAGCTAGCTTGTATGTCAGATCACCCGATTGTCGCTCTGATTCTCTGCCATCCTCCGATAAGTCGATGCAGTAGCAATCCGCGCTCTCTTCCCCCAGATTAGCAGGGGAATTGGAATCGAATAGATGAATAATGCCACGACTGCAATCAAGATATGCAGGTTCTGCATACCCATTCCATTCACCCAAGGTGTCAAAGTGAAAAGAACAATGACAGCGATCACATTTCGCATGAAGACTACGCCGACCAGAGTGTCGCCAACGATCTATCGATAATACATTTGCGTTAGATGCCAGCATTTACTTATTCAAAGAGGACATTCGATGTACTCACATCCTGATAGCAATCCATAAGATATGATAGTGAGATACCACTGCTGCAAGAAAGAACAAACCCAAAGAAACCATAGCCAACTGCTAGTACAACCCAGTGAGAGCCCTATGATGAAATTAGCACAATACTGGAGATGTATGAAATACTAGGAACGTACATAGGCAAGCCCAAGTCCAAACATCAGTATAGATCCTGGACCCAAAGCTATTATAGGGAGCGAAAGCCAAAGTCGCATCTCCGGCTCGTATATGCCGTTGTTCCTCTTCGAAAGCCAAAGGATGGACTTGTCACTCAGATAGCCTGAGATTGGAAAGCCTAACAGGCTGCCAATAAATGGGGCAACATTCATCAAACCGATTCCGACTGAACTAAAATTATATGGCGGAAGAATCATATATGTCGCTTGTAGAGATGTCATGACTGCGAACCAGCACAGGGTGGAGCCATATGTTAGTGCAGTATATGTCACTGCTGGAAAAGTAAATAGAATGACAACTGGCTGCCACACATGAGGCCATATAGATTCATCAGACGGTGTGACGAGGGCCATTCTCTGAAGGTAGGTCTTTCGCTCGCTTCCAGGCCGCGGTGTGGCACATATTTCCACGGACCCGTCAAATCCCTTCTTGTCATCAGATGACAGTCTTCCTTTAGAAGCCTGAGAGCACTCAGGTTCTTCTACACCGGATGTCCGCACATCTGTAATAACTTCCTGGGCATTCAGAATAGGAATAAACTTCGATTCTTCGAAAAGAAAGATCACACAAAGTAGCATGACGGCGAAGAATATCACACACCACCACCATCCCCAGCGCCAGCCTTGGGATTCCACGACGTATCCTGAGGCGACAGGTCCCAGAAACGCTCCGACTGACTGGAAGAGCACGAATAATCCGTTCATGGTGGCATGTTGATGGACAAAGAAAAGATCTGCGACAGTCATCTGTACGATAATCTCGCTAATAGCACCCCCCAGGCCGGAAATCAGCATCCCTCCGATATAGTCACCGAAGGTATAGGTTTTGGCATTCCACACGCTCGCAGCCAGCTGCAATGCCGAGGAAAAGATATAGATAGGGCGGCGGCCATATTTTCGAGCGAGAGGAAGCAGGAAGAAGCACCCCACAGCAAGACCACCGTAATTGGTCGCTGTACCGACATTGAGCTGGTCTACCGTGAAGCCAAGCTCTGTTTCCATCGGACCCCATGCGGTAAAACCAATGTCTAGCTCCACGAAGGTGAAGAGGACAAATAGGCTAACAAAAGTATAGTTGAGAGCCTTCCGTGTCTTGGACCAATTAAGGGGATCATCCGGGTCGTCAGAAGGAGTAGGGAATAGGACCACACTGCTGCCATGTACTACCTGTGGTCAGTCCTGTATGTACACTCATAAGAAAAAGTTCTTACTATCTTCGAGGGTGACTGTGCCCGGAGCCCAGATGGGCTCTTGCTCACTCTGACCATTCGACATTCCAAATGTGATGTTAAGGCAAGTCAAGTTCCCCGTCGTGATGTAGCCACCGAAGCGTGGGATACACAGATCTTATCATTATATTCACATCCCGCAGTATCTCCTCCCTTGTACTTCTTCTCCATTTCAGCGAGGCTTATCGCCCGGGAATGCAGGAGAGTAATCAGAGATAACAGCCCGTTGGAGTTCTTCATGCGGGGTTGCCAAGCGGAGAAAAGCAAGTACCGATAATAGCTCAATAATTGATGGCTATTAGTGGCTATCATAATGCGTCATGTGGTCCTATCACAGAGTAGCATTTCGCGGAAGAAGAGCATTGGATAACAGCACGGCAGATAATTTCGGTAAAGGTGCAAGGAGTGATTCCGGCATCTAGCCAGTGGTATTGGTGCCATTAAGACCCTGAGTCCAGACAGATGGAAGCCCTTCAAATGCAAGTTTGTAGTATTCCAGATAGATAAAGAAAGCGCACGGACTGTTGGTCTTACTCGATGAAGAAAGTGTTGCCGGTACTTTGCTTTTGGGGTCCGCGTGACCATTCAGGATGCAGATGCATGCATACAGGTGCATGATGGTGATTGCTAAACACTTCTCTGCCGTTGAAACTTGAACATCAAAAGGTTTGCACATATCGGACTAGATGAGATCCACAATCTAAACCATGGATCCCCTTGTCAATGATCATCTTATCACCATTGGAGAGAGCGTGATAACATTGTCAGGCTGGTTTGCAGTAGTGTCAGCACAACTTCACATCACGGTTATCAACAGTTCATATAGAGTACTGCATGAATTCTTCTAAGATCATAAGGTCGTCCAGCTCCAGCTTGGAGCCGGTGCTCAGCTAAGTGATTTCGCTTACTGGCCATGAAGACTGCTGTAGTTTAGACGTTGTAGCCAGGCGAGTAGATAATCATTATGTCAGGTCGCCAGAGATGGAAGGAATTAGTACTTATGTTGACAGTCCATCGCCATGATAAGGCTCTCGCGATCTCGCCCGTTTCGCCCGGATAAGGACGCAGTCGTTGAAGTGTGCGTCCACCTGCCTCATTGGGCAATAATTATATATTGGAGCTAGAAGAGAGCAAAAAATTGGAGAGACAGGCTGGTTCTTTCTCGGTGGAGAAGCACCTTGGCATGGAGGA